TCAAGCCAGTTATTCGTTGTCACTATGTCTTATACTTGTATGTTTGCATAAAAAAGTGTGAGTATGGACAGACCTGCTCTCTGTCTGGAAGCAGGAGTGAAGTCCCACCAGGAAGGGATGGTTGGAAGCCTGCTCAAACACATGCTTTTCTGTTTGAACCCAGTCAATATCCTGAAAAACAAGAAAGAGTAGAACAAACAAACACACACACAAAAATCAATCTTCCATTGAAAAGCAGAGCATTCTTTCTGTCAGTAGGGGAAACATTTGGAAGGGCATTCAGGACTGTATTATTGAGTAGAAACACCTCACAAGGCTGAAAACTGATAAAGGTTTAAATGACGGGGGCACCAGGTCTTCCCAAGGAGCTGCTCCTGGATGTGAGAAGACTCACAATGGATAGATACAGAGTGAAAAACTAGGACCTTTCATTGACAGCCTGGTAAAAATATCTCCATCTCCGACCATGAGACTCGCTTAAAGAAGCACTGCGGGGCCAATAGAGTGCAGCTGCCATTATTGACCATCGGCTGCTGCTGTCAATTCATCACACAAGGCTTAAGTGCATCTAATCAACGTTAAATGCCCTCTTCGTCAACATCTAGTCATCTGTACGTGCACTTCAACACATCCTGGAAAGATTAGAGCCAGAGGCGGCTCTTTGCTTGTTTTATTCTGCAAGACTCAAATAGCTCAAATCATTGAGCTGTTCAGTAATTTAGTGTCAAAACAAACATTTCAAGTTGTGAAGTGTCAAAAACGCTTTCAACCTGGATCACAGAATTTGTTTGGTGGGCGTGACAGCAGTTTCCTAAAGGTAGTCTGGGATGTGGTTCATTTGAACTTGATACAGTTCAAAACTGTTATAAATGCAATCTGACATAATTTATATAATGGCATATCTGTGGCATCTTTGCACTTTCCCATTGTATTAAATGTGAAATGTCACCTCATCATCATTCACCAGCTCCTTCTTCACCACCTTCATGGCGTAGATGCGTTCTGTCTTTTTGAGACGCACCAGCAGCACCTTGGCATAGCTGCCCCTGCCAATCACTCGGAGCAGGTCGAAGTCTGTTAGCCCCAAACTGGACACAGCCTTCCCTGAGTCCCGACTGCCCACTGCCTGAGGGATGGACAAAGAGAATATTAAACCACCAACATCTTTTATTTGCTTATATTTATTTACAC